CAATTCTGACATACTCGTCTATTGTCTGGTGGACAGCAATGAATAAAAAATGTAACTTAAAACCGTTGCAGAAAGTTCAGAGAACGTGTTGCCTAGGCATATGTGGAGCAATGCGTACAACACCAACTAGGGATTTGGAGACAATACTATATATACATACAATCGACTACCAAATAAAATATGAAGCGGCGGTTACAGCCTTAAGGCTCAAAACAATGGACGAGTGGATAGACACCGGACACAACATACCGCACTATAACATATTACAGGCAACTAATGCGTCAACGATGAACAACTTTGATTCAGACCGCATACCTGAAACGAGAGTAGTCACACGGTGCGAAACTATAATACCACATAGAGAACAATGGGATAGCGGAACACTAGTTTAGATGCCGCCTGCTAACTGTTGTTACACAGACAATAGATGTTATGGGCTGACCCAAATAAAGACAAAACTAAGCTAATCATAACGCTAAACAGAAAAGAAACAAGCCGTTTGACGGGTATACTTACGGGACATCTCAGCCTGAAGGCACATCTACTTAAGATTGGATGCGAAGGTAGCAGCATGTGCAGAGCGTGTGGGGAACACAGTGAAAAGCTGGAACATTTCCTGTGTCATTTCCCAGCATTTACATGTTTTCGGAAACATTTCTTGGGAAATGACACTATTCACGGACTAACCGATCTAAGGGGTGTGAATGGAGATTGGAGAAGGAGGTCTCAAAAACACAGAATTCGTAGAATCATAGGGGGATCAAACCCAAAATGTTGTAATCTAAATTGTCCCTAATTCAAACTTTCTCTGTATTTCTAGAGCGCACAACAGGCCTCAACTGGCTTATGTGTATGTCCTTCCTTGTGGGACATATGGTGGTATTATCCACCCCTCTTTTCAACCTAACCTAACCTAGGAGATAGAATTAACCAAAAACTTTTTCTGTATGGTTTCCTAGTCGCTCCAGAGGTCACTATTGTAAGCCGAATATTAGAAACTTTACAAGAGGAAACAAATCTGGCCAACGATTCAAATTGTGTATTTTACACACAAAAGTCTTGGTCTATTTGAATCGTATGGCGTAATAAGAAAGAAAGAAGGAGAGTCAGCGGAGTAAGAAAGAGGAGCTTTAGATCTCTAATCGATTAAGAAGGTGCAAATACCGCGATGTATTGCCCAGGCACGGAATATAGATCTCGGTGGTACTTCTCGGCCAGCCCCGTCCGACTATACTACTGCGCTCACTGTTTAAACCCTTCACCACACTGTGGTACAGGGTATTATGTCTTTGTGCATAAGTTTTTAACAGGCAAAAACAAACGAGATAGACACATGGTTCCTTTTGAGAATATGCATAGAATCACTTTCTAAGTCGATTTATGCATGTCCATGTTAAATTGTAAACAAAGTACAGGTCGCATTTATGATCCGATTTGGATGAAATTTGGCACATGTCACTCATTTGGCCCAAGGACGAACCCTATTGAAATTGGGAAAAATCGGTTCAAATTTAGATATAGCTCCCATATATATTTTCGTCCGATTTGGGGTAAATGGGGCACTAAAATCCTTATATATCTTTCGATGTGCACGAAATTTGGCACAGAGTACTGAATTAGGTCTAAAATGATGTGTGCCAAGTGTCGAGAAAATCGGTTCAGATTTAGATATAGCTCCGATTTAAGGTAAATGATGCACGAAATTCCCTATATAACTTTCGATTTCCACGAAATTTGGCACAGAGTACTGATATAGCTCCAGAATGATGTGTACCAAGTTTCGAGAAAACCGGTTCAGATTTAGATATAGCTCCCATATATAGTTTCGTCCGATTTAAGGTAAATGATGCACCAAAGTCCCTATATATATTTCGATTTGCCCGAAATTTGGCACTGAGTATTGAAGTCCAGAATGATGTGTGCTAAGTTTCGTGAAAATCGGATCAAATTTAGAATTAGTTCCCATATATAGTTTTGTCCGATTTTATGTAAATGGTGCACCAAAGTCCTTATATATCTTTTGATTTACACGAAATTTTGCATAGTGTAGTGAATTGAGTCTAGAATGACGTGTGCCAAGTTTCGAGAAAATCGGTTCAGATTTAAATATAGCTCCCATATATAGTTTCGTCCGATTTAACGTAAGTGACGTAAGCGATTTGCACGAAATATGGCATAGGCTACAGAATTAGGTCCAGAATGATGCGTGCTAAGTTTCGTGAAAATCGGTTCAGATTTAGATATAGTTTCAATATATATTTTCGACCGATTTAAGACACAAAGATTGGCCGATCGGCGCACAATTTTGTACAATATACTGTTACTATAACCTTTCGTGTGTCAAGTTTTCTTGATATTGGTTCAGATTTACATATACCTTCTATATATTTTTTCGTACAGAAATTAATAAAAATTAATATCTAGCAAGTTTGCTTGAAATCGGTTCAGATTAGCTTCCATATATAATTTCGATCTATTCATGTTGACTGTACACCAAATAATCAATGGTTGCCTGATTGATACATTTTAAACAGTGCGTGTGCTTTAAATCTATTTACAAAATTTAGAATAGGTTGCAGAATGGCATGTGTTTGAATTTATGTTAGACGGTTTACTTATAGATAAAGATCGCATATTTAAGTTCGTTCAATTTCATGTCAATGTTCCTTAGAAAAGGCGACGTCTGTTAGGATACATATGTAGGATATCCCCAAAGTGGTGAAGGGTATCATATAGTCTGGCCAGTCCGACTTTACTACTTTCCTTGCTGGTTATTTTTATATTCTAGACTATTTAAAATGTTTGCTATAGTCGTTGCATTAGGGCTCATTCCAATCCACCCTAGTCCATCCCTATCCATTAAAATAATCAAACAAAATCTTTTTATTTTTTCAAATTTCTTTATTTAGTATTTGTTTTCACCTTTACTCGTACATTATTACATTGTTGTTGTTGTATCTTTGTAAAGAACTAATGTCTTCATGTTTATTACGCAATTTGTTTGTTTGTTTTTTTCAATTTTTTTTATTTAAATTTAAATAATATAATTAAATTAATTTTATTTATTTTTATAGGTTTACTAATTTGTTTTTATTTTTTTATACTGTAATAAATCTAATGGATGTTTGTTGTTGTTGTTGTAATTGTTGTTTGTTTGTTGCGGTTGACTTTGACTGAATTTGTTGTTGTTGTTTTATTAATGATTTTCAAAATGTTATTAAATTAAATTAGCGTATCTTTTTTGTTTTGTTTTTAATAATAACGTTTGTAAAAATTGTTTAAACTAAATTTTTTTGTTTTGTTTTTTTTTATTATAATTATTTTTTAATTATAAATTATTTGTTATTTATAATACCAATTTAAGTTAGTTATAATTTGTAATTTTACTATATATTTGTTTTTTTTTTTGTTTAAAGCAACAATAAGCATTATTATTATTTTTAATTTGTTTTTATATATAATTTATTATTTTTAGTTTTATTACTTTTTTAATAATAAAAACTGCACTAAATTTGTATGCCCTTTTTTGTAATTTTTTTTGAATTGTTTTTTTTTTTTAATTTTTTTACTTATTTTTATATAATGACTACAACTACAATTTGTTGTTGTTGTTGGTTTTTTGTGTTTAGATTGTAATTTTAGAAATAGTTTTAAGAAGAATTGCTTTGTTGATTTTTTTTTTGTTTTTTATTCCACAGTTTTTTTTTTATTAAATTTAATTGTATTTGTTTATAGATTTCAAATAAACAAATAAGCGAGAAAATAGTTTAGTTGTTGTTGTTGTTTCTTTTCTTATGGGTTGAAAGTGTGTGAATAAATAATAATTTTAAATTTAATTTAAGGGAAGTAAAAACATTTGTTGAAGAATATTGTGTAGATTTTTTCGAGATGTCCAAAAGGGAGGTATTAGAAAAAATTTGGAAAATTTTATTTTTTAGGGATCTATCAAAGGATGGCTGAGATGGATTCGGGAGTTCATAATGTTTTACTTCAGAGAGAAATGAAATGGCTTTCAAACCAATTTTTTTCTTCAAAAACTTGTGGGAATTGAAAAAAAAAATAAAAACGCCTAAAAGCATGCATCAGTTTTTGCAATTTTATAAAGTAATCAGCTGTGGGCATTTCTCATTTTTGGCTCTCTCTTGAAATTTCTCATCCCTCCCCTTCTCAGCTACCCAAAAATATTATCCAAAATGTTTCTTTAAAAAATTTACAATATTTTTGTTGTTGTTATTCTTATTTTTTCCTAGTTGAAATCACTCGATCCCACCACTTTTTTTACAAAAATAATATTCTTAAATGTATGTATTATTCTATAAAAAATAAAATATATTTATATACGAGAAAAATTAAAATATGTATATTTATATTTATATATATGAAAATACATATAAATAAAAACAAAAAGAAAAAATAAAATATATATAATAATTAAATTAAATTAAAAAATAATATTATTACAATGAATATATTATATAAATATGTATAATATATATATGCAAATATTTACTTTATATAAATACAATACAAAAGTGTTATTTTCTGTTATCCAAAAACTCGCACACACACACACACACATATATATATGTGTGTGTGTGTGTGTGATATATATATATATATATGTGTATACATAACAATTATAAATTAAGAAAGAGAAGAGAAAAAAATTAAATATATATATGTGACAAATTTGAAATTAAATTAAAAAAAATATTTTTTTATATATATAAACTAAAAACAAATAATAGTAATAATTATAATCATAATAATAAAATATTTCTTAATTATTACACTATTTGCTTAATCATGTATCTATGTATGCATGTATGTCTGTATGTTTGTTTGTGTAAATTTTTTCTTCTTCTTCTGTAAATATAAATTTTATTTACTCTATTTATTTGTATTTATTTTATCCCAAACGAAAACAAAAATATGAAAAATAATAATAATAATGTATATTAGTTTTATAATTGAGTAGTGGTTTCTGGTTGTTGTTCTTGTTGCAATTATTGTTGTTGTTGTTGGTTATGGTTGTCTAAATATAAATTATATTACAAAAATGGCAATAGACGCACAAATTTCAATATATTTTGTAAAAATGATGACCACACGGCATTCAAACGTTTTGAACGTGACATCAGGAAACGCCAAGTACAAATGACCATAAAAACTTTTGTTAATAGATCGATATAATATAATCTGGAAAAGGAAAGAAAGGAAGAAGGTAAGAGTTAAATATTATTATTTTAAAACTAATAAATAATTTGGCAAATAAATATATTTTTTAAGTACAACAAAGTGTTTCCTTAAGAATTATGTTGGACTTCTTAAATATAGTTTTCAAGGCCTATAATAAAAAGTGGAATAAAAAATCTGCATTATTTTAAATAATATTTTTTCAGGTCTACACATAGGCTCGGATTTTCAAATAATATATTTTAAAGCCTTCAGACAGGCGACGAATTTTTATACCCTAAACAACTATGTTGTCAGGGTATTATAGCTTTGTGCAGCCACAAGAGTTTGCAACGCTGCGAAATATTGGTCCTAGACCCACCTTTAAGTATACCGATCGTCATATCTCGACTAGCTGAGTCGATCTAGACATGTGTGTCTGTCCGCCCGTCTGTCCATTATAATTTGTAAACACGATAAAGGCCACAGTTATGGACCAATCTTCACGAAATTTTGCATGTAGGATGGGTTCTGGCCAATGAAGATATTTAGGGGATGAAATGGACCAAATACTTAATTTTTGTCGGTTTTTCTGATCGCTCCAAAGGCCGCAATTATGGCCCAAACATCTGGAATTTTTACATGGAGAAGGGGATTGGGCCAAATTGACACCAATTATATTGTCGTATGTACTAAGATGTGGGAGTTACACGTAAATATTTACAGGTGCTTACGTACCACACTAGAGGTCGGAAATGTAGCGCCGATCGCTTTGAAATGTTCCATGAGGTTCCAGTTATGGTCAACGACAACGTCTTTAATTTTCGGTGATGATCAGATAATAATTTTGGGATGAAGTGGACCGAAAACTTTTTAATGTTTTTTATCGATTCGATCTATAGGCTACAATTACAAGCCGAACATCACACTACAACCCAGGCTGAATGGATTATGGACAAGTAATTAGAAGGGCTGTACTGAATATTGGTAATTTTGACCTGTAATCGGGCAAGAGGGTGCAGCTATCACGAAATATTACCCCGGCTCGGAATAAAAACCCACATGGTCGTATTGTATCGTATGGTCGGCCCCGTCCGTTTATACTGTTCCGCTCACTGGGTTTGTTTTAGTTTTTCCAATAGCAAAACAGGCTAGTATTTTGTTGTAATATTTTTGCCATGGACCAATATTACCGCTGATTTTTATACCCTTCACCACACTGTGGTACAGGGTATTATGTCTTTGTGCATATGTTTGTAACAGGCAAAAGGAAACGAGATAGACACATGGTTCCTTTTGAGAATATGCATAGAATCACTTTTTAAGTCGATATATGCATGTCCGTCCGTCCATGTGTCCGTCTGTTGGTGTTAAATTGTAAACAAAGTACAGGTCGCATTCATAATCCGATTTGAATGAAATTTGGTACTGCTCATTTATTTGGCCCAAGGACGAAACCTATTGAAATTGAGAAAAAATGGTTCAGATTTAGATATAGCTCCCATATGCATCGTCGTCCGATTTTATGTAAATGATGCACCAAACCTTCAATATTTGACCGATTGGAACAAAATTTTGCACACAGTACTGAAATAAGTCCAGACTGATGTCTGCGAAGTTTTGTTAAAATCGGTTCAGATTTCCGATTTTATGTAAATAGAGCACCATTCTGCCAATACTGTTCCGATGGAGACAACATTTTACAAAGAGTACTGAATTAGGTCCATATTTATGTATGCGAAGTTTTGCACAGTGTACGGAATTTAGTTCAGTTTAAAATCTGTGAAGTTTTGTTGAAATCGGTTCAGATTTAGATATAGCTCTTATATATATTTTCGTCCGATTTTAGGTAAATGATGCACTTAACTCCCAATATTTGTCCGATTGAGACAACATTTTGCACAGCGTACTTAATTCAGTCCAGTTTGATATGTGTGAAGTTTTGTTGAAATTGGTTCAGATTTACATATATCTCCCATATACAATTTTGCCGGATTTTATACAAATGTTACACCAAATATTCAAGTCTGCTCGATTGACATGCATTTCTTTATAGATTTCAGAATTGCATGTGTATGGTTTTTATCTATGTAGATCACATTTTTTTTTTTTTTTTGACCGATTCCCTATCAATGGTCATCCAAAGATGCTATGTCTTTTCTATCAACAGGATATTGTACACATTATGTATGTACCCAAAGTGGTGAAGGGTATCATATAGTCGGTCCCGTCCGACTTTTGAACTTTTCTTACTGGTTTAAATATACTTTTCCATGTGGATTTTTCCGTGGATTTTTTAAAAATATTCTTTCAAGGACTATCGAAGGGGGAGGATTTTTTAAAAATTATTTAAAAATAATTTTTGAAGGACTGTCAGAGTCGAGAATGTTTTTTAATAAAGGATTTTTATAAAATATTTTTTGAATGATTAAGGACTATCGAAGTAGAGGATTTTTTATAAAAGGCGATGATTCTTAAAAAATTCTGTTTGAGAGATTATGAAATGCAAGGTTTTTTTTTTAATATTTTTACATGACCTACAATAATGTTTTGAAATAATTTTTTTGAGGGGCTATCGAAAGCAAAGATTTATTAATTTTTTTTTTTGAAGGCAAGGATTTTTATAAAATTTTATTTGAAGGACTTTCGAAAATGAAGTTTAAAAGAATATAAATTATATTATATTTATTTATAATATTTTTTTAGAGGAGGGTTTTTTATAAAAAAAAATATTTTTTGAAGGACTATAGAATGCGAGGACTTTTTAAACATCATTTTGAAGTACCAATTTTTTAGATTATTTTTCAAAAATATTTTATTGTAGTACCAAAATTGGTGTAATTTTTTAATATTCGTTTCAAGTACCATACCATAAAAAAAAATTATTTTTCATATTATTTAAGGTGTTCCTAAGTCTAATTTTTAAACATGCATTTCAGAACTTTCGCTTCGTGTGTTTTTTAAATAATTTTCTGATCTTTCCATGCCTAATTTTTTAAATTTGTTAATTTTTCCAAGACCTTCCAATGTCTAAATTAGACCTTTCTAATAATTTTGAGACCATTTTTCCCATTTTTAAATTATTTTAAAATATTTTTTTCTCCAATGCCTTACCTCATCATCTTTTTCCGACTACCAGGTAATGATTGTGGTTTCTGTTTGAACAGGAATTCTCTAAAGCCCAACACATATCGTTCCATATATTTCTCCCAATTAATTGTGGTAACATCGAACACAAAATTATCGCGATCCTTTGGACTGAGAGTCTGTAGCAAAGCGCACACATTGTCGTCCTTGAATTGCCATTCATGGGTGGCGAAATAATTCAAGCATTCAACGGCTTTGGCGATTTTGTTTTGGATTTTGACAAAGCTGCAAAAAGAAAAAAAAAAACACCAAGGAATCGATTAAGGATCAATATCATCACTGATAACTGTAGAGAATATACTTACATTGGTTTTTTACCAACTAATCGCGCCATTACATCTAATATATAGGCTGGTATATAATGTACAACAAAAGCATTGACAGCATTTATTGTGGGACTGTTGCGTAGCGAGCCACCAGGATACCAGGCACAACCCTCTGTAAAATCGAAAAAATTAAATGTTTTTTGTTGTTGTTTTTTTTTTTATTTGTATCCTTTTGTTCCAACTCACCCAATGGATGTTTGCGCACATGATCAACGGCATAGTTAACAAATTTACCCCACGTAATGGGATGTCTTTGGCCGGTACAACAATTATAAATTAATAAATTATCCGTTTTGTGTGATGCTGTGCGCCATGCAGCCGTTATCATCAAATTAATCACAATATCAACAGGTACCACATCGGCAATGCAATTCTCCTCACAGACAATTGTGCGGAAGATGCCCTTGGCCATGGCCGATAAGAGGCCGGTGGGACCATTTAAATTGTCAATCCAACCGGCAAAGGGTTCATTTAAGCTGGCAGTCACTGTGAATGAGAGAATTAAATTCATTTTAAAATTTTGTAATTTAATATTTTATTGTTTTTGTTGTTACCTATAGATGGCCTCACAATGGCAACTGGAAGATTACCGGCCTCTTTGAGTAGCATATGTTCAGCTAAGGCTTTTGTAAATGTATAAGTATTTGGACGATCACCAATCAATGAGGGGGTAAGCTGAAATACACAGAAAGAAATTCATATTAAAAAATTAGTAAATACTAAATAATTAATTAACATTTGACAAGAATTAATTAATATAATTAATGTTAATTAATAAAATTAATAATAATAAATATTAATTTATTATAAATAAAATAGTAATGTAATATTAATTAATTAAATATTAAACTAAATAATTAAATATTAATTAAATAATATTATTCACTTAAAATTAATAAACGTTATATTAATTAATTAAAAATAATTAAATATAACTTAGTAATAAATTAATCAAATAAAAAATATAAATTAAGTAAAAACAATTAAAACTATACATGAAATAAAACAAATAATTAATTAAATTCAATTACTTAATATAATTTAATTAAATACAATTAATTAATATAAATAAACTGTAATTGGTTAATAAAACATAATTAATTTGAATTAATTATAAATTAAATTAAAATAAATGAACTGAAAATAATTAATATTAATTAAAAATTATTAAAAGAAATGAATTAAAAATTAATTAATATAAATTAATTACAAGTTAATAGATATAAATTAATTAAAAATAATTTAATTTAAATAAATTAATATAAATTAATTAATATAAATTAAATACAAATTAATTACAAATGAATTAATATAAAGTAATTAGACATTAATTAATATAAATTAATTAAACATTAATAGATATTAATTTAAATAAGATATATATATATTAATTAAAAATTAATATAAATTAATTAACAAATTAATATAAATTAATTAAAAATTAATATAAATTAATTAAAAATTAATATAAATGAATTAAAAATTAATATAAATTAATTAAAAATTAATATAAATTAATTAAAAATTAATATAAATTAATTAAAAATTAATATAAATAATTAAAAATTAATATAAATTAATTAAAAATTAATAGAAATTAATTAAAAATTAATAGAAATTAATTAAAAATTAATAGAAATTAATTAAAAATTAATAGAAATTAATTAAAAATTAATAGAAATTAATTAAAAATTAATAGAAATTAATTAAAAATTAAAAGAAATTAATTAAAAATTAGTAGAAATTAATTAAAAATTGATAGACATTAATTAAAAATTAATAGAAATTAATTATAAATTAATTAATAATTAATTGAAAATTGTTTAAAAATTAATTGAAAATTAATTAAAAATTAATTGAAAATTAATTAAAAATTAATTGACAATTAATTAAAAATTAACTGACAATTAATTAAAAATTAATAGAAATGAATTAATTACACATTAATTAATATAAATTAATTAGAAATTAATATAAAAATTAATAATTAACATAAATTAATTAAAAATTAATATAAATTAATTAAAAATTAATATAAATAATTAAAAATTAATATAAATAATTAAAAATTAATATAAATAGAAATTAATTAAAAATTAATATAAATTAATTAAAAATTAATATAAATTAATTAAAAATTAATAGAAATTAACTAAAAATTACTAGAAAAATTAAAAATTGATAAAAAGCAATTAATAGAAATTAATTATAAATTAATTGAAAAAATTAAAAATTAATTGAAAATTAATTAAAAATTAATTGAAAAATTTAAAAATTAATTGAAAATTAATTGAAAAAATTAAAAATTAATTGACAATTAATTAAAAATTAATTGACAATTAATTAAAAATTAATAGAAATTAACTAAAAAAAAATTAATTAAAAATTGATAAAAAGCAATTAAAAAATAATAGAAATTAATTATAAATTAATTAATAATTAATTGAAAATTATTTAAAAATTAATTGAAAATTAATTAAAAATTAAAAATTATTTAAAAATTAATTGAAAATTATTTAAAAATTTATTGAAAAAATTATTATTAAAAAATTAATTGACAATTAATTAAAAATTAATTGAAAATTAATTACAAATGAATTGAAAATTAATTAATAAAATTTCATTAAAAATTAATTAATAGAATTTCATTAAAAATTAATTAATAGACAACAATTAAACATTAATTAATAGAAACTAATAAAAAATGTATTAATCAATAGAAATAACATAATTAAATATAAGTTTATTGATTTTTAACATTCAAAAGTTTACCGATAATAAACTAATTAATTACTTAATTAAGTAGTTAATAAAAATATTAATTAATGTAAAAATAATTAAATATAAAATAATAGCAAATTAATTATATATTGATTAAAATTAAATAATTAAAAATAAAATTAATTAATTTAAATACAAATAAATCAATTAATTAACAAAAAAATATTAATTTAATTATTTAAATAAAAATAAATTAATTAAAAATAATGCAATAAAAATTAAATTATTAAAAACAAATTAATTAAAAAATAATTTATAATAAAACCATAAATTAATTAGTAATTAATAAAATAATAATTAATGGCTAATAAAAAATAATTTATATTTAACTACATGTTGTTAATTAAAATTAAATTTTGATTAAAAAAACATTTATAATTAATTGTAACGAATTACTAATTAGAAATAATTAATTATAAATTACACTTTATTAACTGTATTAATTTTTAATAAATTAATTTATTTCTTGATAAATTTATTAAATTAAGATTATTAAACATTACTTATGTATTAATAAATTCTTAATTTTTCATTAATTAAATGTTATTATGCCTTACCTTATCGAGTGTATCCTCCGGAAGCCAATTAACTAAGGAAATAATATCATCTGGATTATAGGGTGGTGCATATATAACTTCAGATACTTCGGTTCTATCGCAATTGCAATAGGCAGTGGATACATGAATTAGTGCCTAACGGGAAGAATAATAACGAATTTCAAAATCAAGAACTAAATAAAATTTCAAATTTTCGATCTACTTACATCTAAGGACATCATACGATGGCATAATTCAACCAAACGTTTTGTCCCTAACATATTGATTGTAACTGATAATTTGAGCTTTTCATCGAATTTAACAGTGGCAGCTGAATGGAATACAATCGAAACATTGCGACACAATAGAGCCTGTAAATACAAAACCATGTTTCAATTATAATTATTTTCCAAATGAAATTTGGCATTATTTGAACATACCTGATCACTTTCGGATATACCCAATTCTTCGGATGTTATATCGCCTGATATAGGAATTACTTTACTCAAATCCTTTGGTTTTTCTCTTCTTAATTTTTCAAAAAGCTATAAGAAATAGAATATATTATTTGTAATGATTCTCAATTTCTAAAAATGACAATTTTTTAGCTTACCGGTGCCTCCAGCAGTTCATTGAGACGCTGTGATACCTCATGTCCTCGTTTGGGTCGTATCAGTAAATATATATTTTTTATGTCTGGACAAGAACGTAGAAGTTTTTCAACCAAGACCTGAAAAGGATATGAAGAGAAAACAAATATTTTAATAAAGTTGGTTACACAATTATAGATAAATGATAGCCCCTATTATAAACGTAGATCCTTATCCTGAAATCAGATTCCAAAATCCTCCAAATTTTTCTAATCAGCCGAAGTTATTACCCACTTCGGCTGATTAGAAAAATTTGTTTTCCTTTCTTCAGTCCCATGTTGTCAATTAATCGTCAATGTTAATGAAGGGCTTGAGTTATTATCAAGATTCCAGTTATGTTATTATTACCCACACCCAATCCCAACCCAGTCCTTATTTATTACTCGAAGCAAATACAGACCCTGTCCGGTACTTAGTTAGCTGCCTGGCAAGTTTACCCTTATTTATGTGTACTCTTGTCTCTCCAAAGTCTCTATTCTTATTAGTATTAAGCAAGTAACCATGTGAGTGTCTATATCACTATGTGTGTGTGTGTATTTACACTATAAGTATGTGTACATACGTACACACGACGACTACTTAAGAAAGGACCTCATTGTTGTTCCTGAGAGGGTATTTATGTTGTTGGTGCAAACAATTAGAATGTTGATACAACAAAAAAACTGTAAATGAATGAATGACTGAGAGTGGAGAAGGAGAATAAGGAGATTCGAAGTAGGCAGTTCTCTTTTGTTTTTGGACTCCTTTGTTTTTTTTCGTGACGCCTCTATGAAAAATTAATGTTGTAAATAGTGTGGAGGTGTGCGTTGGAAGCACGTAAGGACGGTAAATTTGTGAAGTAATTTTAGAGATGAAAATTGTAAAAAAATTAACACATGGGAATTAATGAAAGGGAATAAAAAAGTAAAGACGGCGATTAGTTAGGCAGTTCCGAACTTTTTGTAGACTCCAAAAATTATATTATGTCATTGTAAATAGCTTGTTAGGAGGTTTATTATTCTTTGTAAAATGAGAAACCGAAACCATAATATGGGGTACCGGTTCAAACATAGCCCTGTATTGTAGGCCAATGGGGATTCGGTTGAAAATGTTATGCAAAAAGGTTTTGTAAACAAAAAAAAAAAACAAAACTCCGAGATGTTAAATTGCAGGCACTTCTATTAATAAATACGCCAAGTATTATAAAAATACCGAAAATGGGACGGAACATTTTAATGGTGTCTATGGTAAAACGTGGACATATAAATATATCCGGTAAATGACAACCACTTCTGCTGGAACCTAGAACCATTAAAATGCTAACTTTCATAAATTTATATGATCTTCGAGTTGTGAAATTACTGTAAAATTCTATATGTGTATTTTAGAGAGCATCTAAAATCGGACGAAATCTTTATATGGGGGCTATGTCAAAACGTAGACCTAGATTTTCATGTTCCTGCAATGAACTCGCCTAGGACCATGAATATGTATAAAAGGGGCGGGACAGTTATATGAGGGCCAAAGATGTGTCGATGTTAATAATTTCTGGTAGGAAGATTTGCCAATCAATAAGAAAAGAAAATATCGAAAATTGAGACGTATCACTAAAGGTGGTCTATACCTAAAGGTAGATCTATATTGACATTTTTTGGAAACAAATGAGAAACCAAAATATCAAACTAGAGCCTCTTCGAATGAAGAATTGTGCTTGGAATCCTCTAATCATCGAATATTGGTAAGTATCATTACATGGGTCTACCTCCATGCATGGACCAATATTGATCATTTTTGGTAGGAAAATATTCTACTCCATGATAATCGAAAATGTAAAATTACAGCATTTTTGTATTGAGAATGTGTTCGAAATTCCTTAAATATTAAAAAATTGGAAGGTACCGCTAAATGGGACTATGCCAAAAGGTGGATCGATATTGATAGTTTTGGTAATATGAATTACTATTCTATGAGAACTGAAAATATCAAATTTGAGCTTCTTCTGATGAAGAAATAAGTCTGAAATTCTCTAAATATCGAAAATCAGGGGTATCATGGTGCTACCATGAATAGGCCAAAATAAATAAAAAAAGATATATAAAATTACAGCATTTTTTTGTGTGAAGAATGGGTTCGAAATTCGCAAAATACTGAAAATCGAGAAGAGTCGATACATGGTAAGACCCCGAAACTTTTGCCAATATTTTTGCTTGGAGATTTCCTATCCAATAAGATCTGAAAGTATAAAATTACAATTATGTCTTTGAAATTCTCAAAATACCTTAATATATTTAATGGTGGACCGATTAATCGCATTATCAATAGGCAGACAAATGGACATGGCTAAATCAAAATCGAGAAGTTGCAAACGGTATGACATATTTAATATGAAATTGAAGGTTATGAAAATTCAAGCTTATAGCTCCGACAACCCTTGAAAAAATCTTAAAAATCTAAGCCAGAAGCTCAGAAGCTCTCTGCCAGCCCTTAAAAAATATTACATAAATATATTACATAGTCCTTAAAAAATATTACATACATATTCTACAGTCTTGGAACGTTTTTCTTTATAACCCCACACTTATAGCTCTGTAGGTGCTTTAAAAACTAGTCTCTAAAACCTAGTCTCTAAAACCTAGTCTCTAAAAAAAACTTGTCTCTAAAAACTAGTCTCGAAATATCCACGCTTAGCCTTTCTAGTCCTTGAAAAAATATCATTAACAAATCCGGCTTATAGCCGTTTTAGTCCCTGCTCTAGTAGTCCATCAAAGAATAATATTTAAATATGTCCCGCGTATAGCTGTGATTGACCTTTTTTTAAAATCCAACCTTGAGATCTTGATAGCCTTTGAAATATTATTTTTTTACCAAATTTCTAGGTTATGGCTCCGTTTATAGTCTTTAAAGATATTCTTTAAGAAATCAAAGCTATGGTTGTCCTTGAATAAGCTATTTTTCAAACAAAAAAAAAAAAAAAACAATATAACACAAAATTAATTTCCATCTTGACAAATCCTTTAAATAATGCTCTTTAAAAAAAATCCAGTCTAAAGGCGCTTTAAAAAATATTTCTTAAAAATCCGAACTTTAATCTACGTTAGACCATTACAACCCACGAGTATATCTGTAAGATACCTTTAAAACATCCCAACCCTGCTAATCTTTCAATAAATACTATTTAGAAAGTACAAGCTTCTGGGTCTGATAGTCCTTGAATGAATTTTCTTGACAAACCCGTTCATAAAGATGCTTGATAATCTCAATAAGTCTGTTTTGTAGCCATGTAGTGCAGTTGATGTACTACAAAAACTTTTCTTTAAAAATCCACACCTATAGCTCCTCCAAAAATATTCATTACAAAACTTTAAAAAATCTAAGCTTATAGATTCTCTACCTTTTTAAAAATCGACGCTTATAGTTCTATCAGGTTTTTAAAACATATTTTGTAAAAATCCAAGCTTATAGAAGTCCTACTTAAAAATTCCAGCTCTACTAGCCCTTTCAGCAAATTTCTTTGAAAAATCCATGCTTAGAGCTCTGCTTATATTCAAAAAAATATATATTTCAAAACGCTTATAGCTCCGAAGAGGCTAAAAAATATATTCTTTATAACTTCAAGTTTTGGAGGAGTTTAAAAATATTTTTTAGAAATCTATGCCCTAAAATGCCCATGCTTATGCTCTAGTTCTTGAGAAAATACATAAAAATCGCGCTTATAGTTTTGCTAATTAATTCAATTTATAATTCAAAACTTATTGTTCTAATAGTCCTTGAACATTTTTTTCTTAAGAAGTCAGTATTATAGCTTTAAAGTTGATTCTAAAAAAAATTCCTCTCAGGTCTGCTAAACCATTTATTTTAAAATCGCACTTAATTAATAGTCCCTAAAATATTCTCTAAAAGTATTCATTAGTCCTTCACAATATAATCCCCCCTACTCTAATTGCCCCCCTTTGCCCAACTATTTCGAAATTCACAACAAAATACAATGACACAATTTGATTTATTTGAACTTCACTTCTGCACCCCAACCAACCTCCATAATTATTTATTTTGTTTCAATATTCACCACCCTCACCTATCAAAGCTGAAACCTCCCCAACAATTTTATTGTCCGAATACGCTTCTGCTGTGTTAAAACAATTTTAAAAATTTATAACTAAAACAATTTGCATTTTGAGCGACCGATGGGTGGTAGACTGCTCGCTGCCATCCGTCTACACCTAAGCTAATCGTTAGCACGGACATACACACAATGAAATCGTCAGTCAGTTACTCAGTTACTCGGTCACTCTGTTAGTCAATAATACACAGTCATTAGCTGTAATAATTACAGGTTGTATAACACATTGTTGTATTTGCCTGAACTCGTGCACATGATGATATCCTGGCCATAAAAAGGAAACCAAAGGGAAATATTTGTATATCTAATAGACTGCCAGTAAATATGTGGGTATTTCTTATGTATGTATATATATATGGTCAATAACATTTGTTGGGGGAGTTGTATGTGGGTTGGTGTGGTGAAGTTCTTGGGAATCGAAATGATTTTCTAAAAAATGGGGTATGCCTATGCAGTGACTAAAGGAACTAATTTGTGATTGATTTTCTTTATTAAAGGGAGAAAACATTTTGGGAAATGAAATGTCTTCGAAGATTTGAAATTGACTGTGTATTTAAGTAGTGTCTCAGTGGAAGATGTATGAAATTGTCAATGTTAGAATAGTATTTGAATATATAGTCGAAATTGGTTATAACGACACATAAGTTATAAAGAAGTTATTCAAAAGTTCCTAAACAAAGATTTGTCCTTTATTCATCTGGAGTTCGTTAGCAGTGGGTTCTGGTCTTGCTATCCCGTCTGCTCTTAATTTCCATTTCCATTGTGGTCGAGCTTTCATGCGATTTTTTTCTCCTTTGAGTATTTTTTAATATATCCAACGAATATTACTTTTAAATAATTAAACTTTAGTCCAGGTCAAACTTCACATCGAAAAAAATAAAAAATGGGTCAATCCCCTTTTCGTAACATATAAAGGGTCTTTGGTGCATTATTTACCTTAAATCGGACGAAAATATATATGGGAACTATATCTAAGTCTGA